TTGGCACAAGGGGAAACTCACATTTTACACTCCCCAGTTAAGTGCCATCTTCCTTTACCATATATTTGTTTTTCCATCACTGGAAAAAAATTGGCTAGAGAGGAGTTCCTCTTAAAGACAGGCCTTCCTACTGCCTAAAGATAGGCAGTAAACGTACACAGGAGAGCTGCTAAGAATACAGCCTTAGTGAGCAGCAGGGTGGTGACACGGCCCCTGCCAAATGCAGCGTTGTGCCTGCCCCGAGGACGTGAACACGTGCCAGTTCTGGATATCTGGGCGAAAGCAAAGGCACAAACCAGCCTTCCACCCTCCCCAGGCAGCAAGAGGATGAGCCCCACCTTCCTCTCTCCCCCCAGTTACTTGACTCCAGATCCAGCTTAGCAATGCACGAGGGAAGAGAGGAGGACTGGCCCACAGCCTACCCGAGAGAACAGCACCAGTGGTTGTTGTTTGTTCCAGCCTTCTGTGTACGAGGCAGGAATGAAGGTCAACACAACACACACGCAGCAGTGAACAGGCAGCTAAAGGTATCAATGCTCCTGTATTAAAGTGCAATTCAAAAGTTACAAACATTCATGGTTGATTTTTTTTTTTTAATACAGAGTTATTAGAAGGTCTCTAACTCAGACTTAAACAGTGTTTGCAGATAAGGAAATTTACTTCCCCTCATGCAGGGCTGCTTTAGGAATTCACACTTGCAAGTCATGCAAGCCTTCCCCACAGGAGAGCCCTGGCACACAGGGAAGTAAGGGAGAAAACGCTCCTTCCCCTTCACTGTGAAGGTAGGAAGGCCGTAGGAAGCATATGTAAAAGATCACAAGGGTCTCCACCAGACTAGAGAGACTCCCTTCAGAGCAGGTTTAATGGCACTATGTTCTAAGGAAGAAGGAAAGTTTGTGGCTGAGCAGCCAGAGTCTCAACAGAGAGCTGAGTGTAAGTAACACCCGCACCAGGCAGCGGTTCCCAGCTGAGAGGGCACTGCACCCCTAAGCAACCCAACTCCGGTATTACAGCGCCCGCCCACCCACCCACGTTGCTCAGATGTGGGCATACACCCCCTGGCTGCAGTGGCCGAAGGAAATGACAAAGGCCAGTTTTCCCCTGTGGAGCTAGCGCACAGCCCAAGCTTGCTCAGCAGAGGGAGCCAGGGCTGCGGGACCCATCTCCTGACAAGGCCAGTGCCAGGTCATCTTCCTAACGCAACATATTTTGCTCCAAGGCAAGCAGCCTCCTGTGCAGCATGTGACTCCGTTACGCTTGAAGAACGGCTGCCTGACACAGGATCATTGCAGAGATACGGGACCTGCTTCTAGGAGAGGGAAAGGAAGACTGATTCTCACACCTGCCAGTCTACCAGCTCACTGCCCTGCAGCACGCCTTTGTTTGCTTTTCTATTCAATGGCTACAAAGGCAGGCTGGTTGGAGCCCATCCCCTTCCCTCTTGTAGCCAAACGCTTCAATGTCTCTTAGGATGCACTTCCCAAGTTCGTCACCCCATGACTTGTTAGTCCAGGACATGAAACACACACTTCCAGCACGGTACAGGATTTCCAGAGTCCCATCTCACGCTGAACTGTGCCAGAATTTAAGGAAATTTAACACCTTTCTGGGGCACCCAAGGGTCTATGCAAGGAACCTCATTGCTCTCTATACCTTTCCTCTTGGATGGTGCTTCAGAAGAAGTCAAAAGTTTGGCATTCCGAGTCGTTTTACTCCAGGATCCTAGAGCCTTCATATTTTAGTCCTAGATTAGTCATGTGGTCTACTGGTGGTTTATTAAGAAGTCCATCTCTCTCCTCAAGCCAACGGCAGAGCAAAAGGTTAGTGCTTCGGCCCCATGAGATAAAGCAAATAAACAGGAAAGTGCTGTTGTTCCGCCTTGTATTGCCACTGACTTAATGTTTAAGGAGGGCAGGTGCTCAGCTGCCCAGCACTACATATATTGTATATACACAAAGAGAGCTAGAGATATGCTAACCCGAGGGGTAGTAACAGCCAAGTTGTCTTCAGGGAGAGAGAGTGTGGGAGGCTAGTTGCAATTTCCTTCTGTTAGTTGTTCTTCTTATCCTCAGGAGGTGCATAAGGAGGTGGCTGATCCTGGAAGGAGATAGTAGAGTCAACAACCCTGCTCGTTTTATGATGAGCTCTTCCCAGGTGTTCCCAGGCTTGGCTTACAAGAAATGACTGCTCCTCAGTGAGCTACAGACAGAGCCAGGTGCTGTGTTTTAAGCTGTCGTTTCATCACACCATTCCTCTCTAGTATCAGTTATGCTCCAGGATATATGCTGCCTCCCATAATGTTTCTAGTGAAGGTCCCCTCAAAACCAGGCAACAAATGGTCTATTGCAAACAGACCATTTAATCCGTTTTAATCGCCATCCTCCCTTCACTTCCAGGGCTTTGTCTCTGTTGATGTTCATAGCTCTGACCCAGCAGACAGCAAGCCCCTGGGCTGAGGGCCAGCTTTGCTGCTCCATCCGTCTCCAGCCCACCACAGAGCCACACGAGGCAGTGAAGGGCACAGGCAGACTGGCTGTCACATACCAGGCGTAGGCTACAGCCTACCTACCGGCTGCCACTGACTGAACAGTAAGAGACCTCCCTGTCTCCATGCAGCCCAGGAAAAAAATGAAAACAAAACCCACATGCTCTCATCCTTCAGTGACCTGCTCTTCTTCAACCCTCCCCACTTTCAGGCCCAACAGAAGCAGAGCGCTTCTGTCATACTGAATGGCTGTTACTGGATGAATCTTAAGGCCCTCCTCCTTTCCTGACTGAGGATTTAACAAGCCGCCTTCATGGCACTATCATCCACGCCTCCCAGGAAAATGCACACTTTCTGTGCATTTTCAAAATGAAGGCATGCTAGGCTTTGCTAGGAAAGCAAACGGCTGTCTCTGTTAGTGACAGAAGAGGGAGCGGGTACACGCAGGCCGCAGGTGCCGTACTCACCATGGGCATGTATACGTTGTGTGGGTTGGCAGGGTTGTAATACGCACTGGAAGCGGCTTCCATGGCCTTACTGTTCCCTAGAAAGGAAAGAGAAGCAGCAAGCGTAGGACACGCTCATCTATATGCCTCAGGCAGTGGCCCCAGAGCCTTCTCCCCAGCCATAGCTCTTTTGAGGAGTCGACAAACATCCAAAGAGCTAGCAGCAACCGCAGCAAGCTGGGTTTGAGTTCAGAGCAGTTCAGGAAAGCTGCAAGCTGGCTAGAGCTGACCACAAGCTGTGCAATGCAGAGCTGAGCAGCTCCCCCCACACTCTGTTATCTCAAATAATAGATCAAGATGACTTTGAGCTCCTGCAGCAACAACAGCTTCCCCGCCCCACTCTGTGCCCACTATGCCACCCACAGCCCAAGCTCCCAAGCACCCTTTTGCACCTGGACCCTGGCAGCCCCCCAGTCCCATTACCTGGCATCCCCGGGCCCATCCAAGCTGGGGGAGCTGAGGGTTCTGCAGGAGATGGCCCAGAGTAGGGGGGAGGAGGTGGCACATACGTGGGGTTCATGTTCGGAAGTGGTGGGTAAATACCTGAAAAAGATGACACCGGATTGATGCTTTGGACCATGGCAATGGGACAGAGGGGAAGAGAGCTCACAGGCCCAGCAGCACATTAGCCCTGGACAAGAGCAGCGGTCAGGGAAGCTCTGCAGGCTTGGCAGGGATGCAGACAGCAGGGATTTGACATTTTGCTAATGCCCATCATGCCAGCAGGCAACAGTTCTCCGCCAAGCAGCAGGACAATTTACAAACCACATTTTCACCTCCCATCCAGCTGCAACTATAGAGACACACGGGTGCGATCAACAGCACGCGACAGATTTTTGCAAGGACAAGGATCCTTGATGGAGACAAAACTCCAGTAACCCTCACCGTACCATTGGGATTTCTTTACAACTAACACCAAACACACCCTGCCAGTCACCACTACACAGCTTCCAAACCTGGAGTCTGGGCATATGGATATCCCATGGGCTGTGGAGCAGGTCCATAGGCGTTCATCGGAGGTGGTGTATAAGGATATGGTCCATTTGGTGGTGGAGGAGCAGCGTAGCCCCCCGGTGCAGGTGAATAACCCCCTGGAGCAGGCGGGGCGGGTGCATACCCTCCGGGCACGGGTGTATAGCCATAGCCAGGGTTCTGGAGAGGAACGCCACTGGAAGCTAAGGAGCACATGTTTAGTAAGCCAGACATCCCTTTGTTACAATTAAACATATAGAATAAAAGGAAAATAGTCCTGTTCACACGGCACCATTTCCCATCATCTAAACTCACTATACAGTCCTGGCAGAGTACTGCGCTTGAAAAGCATTAGCCTCCTCGCTGCAAGTTCACAGGATGCTAAAGGAAACCAGCTGCAAAAATACTAGCTATCAGGTACCAGTTCAAACACAGAGCTCCTGCTGCCGGAAGAAAAGACCGTTCTAAAGCAAGTAGCAGTTGGGTGGTTTTTACTTCTTTTTAAACTTTCTTATCAGAAAAAAGTGTACATTTTAAAATGCACATTCCTTTAAAAAAAAAATTTTCGTATCAGAAAAAAAAAGTGCATTTTTTCCCCCCATTTGAAAGTTTTAAATAGAAGTTATTATTTTAAATTTATTTTTGCCCCCTCCAAATGTGGATGCGTTAACTTCCCCATCTTACTCCACTATTACAGAACTGAGCTGAGGGTACGTAAGTGGATCAATTTTTCACCATCACATACTTCAACTTTACTCCAGGAGGAATAAGGTTCTGTAGAAAAAGGTGGTCCTCCTCAGAAGCACAAACTCCAGAATATTCTGATTGCACAAAGCGTTA